TATATTGTACGCATGGGATATGATCGATAAATCCCTCTGTTATCTGTATTACAGTAAAGTGGAGTTCCACTTGATCTGTGCTTATGACCTTCATAGCACTTTCCACAGTTGTAAATCTGCATGACTTGTATTTTATTCCTGGGTCTCCCTGACCATCTGACTGTAAGCTCTATGAAGGCAGGGACCATGTCTATTTCCATTCATAGCTGACTTCCCAGCACTTGGCACAATACACATATACACTGTTAACAGACATTTGTTAAACAGCTGAGTAAATGAAGATCAAAATTAAATGTTTTTAACTTATCATTCTGAAAAGTGACTCAGTGTGAGCATCCAGTAAGACAGACAACAGTAATGAAGTCTACCAGACTCCCTAAGCTATGCTGGAATCTTGAGAGCCAAGGGGAGAGTGAACTCTGGGAAACTAAAGTGGTAAAGTACAGTAGTAACGAAAAGCAATCAGGGCCCACCGCAGCCTCCTTGGCCTTGAACTCCTTCTCCCTCTGCAGGCGGTACTGTTCAATTTCGGCCTGAGCTTCTTCTTTGGCCTGCTTCAGCCTCCGGTTCTTTCCTGGATTCACAGGAAAGAACAACATTACAAAGTTGTTGGAAGAGAGAAACAAGCAGGGATGGAGATGGCAAATTTTAACAGTAACCAAAGAATAATGTTTTAAGGGACAGTTCCAAGAGGGATGTATGGGAAAACAGGAGAGAGGAAATTCAGATCTCACTTATAGCTTCCTACTTCCTACAAGGAAGGTTGGGCAATCCTACTTCCATAGTGATACTGCCTCGGAAACCCAAGGAGGGGTCACTATGAGTCCAGGCCGACTCAACGGCACATAACAACAACAACAACAACAACAACTTACTACAAGCTTTACTTAACAGGAAGTGATTAGATAATAGGAATGTCTTCCATAACTATAGGTCAGATAAAAAGAAGGAACAAGCTTTTGGAATATGCTAGAATATTCTCTCAATTTCAACTACCAAGAACCAACAGACATAAAACGGGTGACATTAGCTGTCTGGGAAACTCTCCCTCTTCCCAAAAAAGTAAACACCTAAGTACTGCCGATTACAACTGGAGATCTGCTTAGAACCTTAGCAAGCAGACTAATTTGCTCCCCAGGTACATCAACCTAAAATGTAACTAATGGAACTGATGATGTAATATTGGAAACTAAAAAACCAAGCCTATCACAGAGAAGTAAGTAACAGAAGTGGTGACTGAGAAGGAAGGCTGAAAGAGGAACCCTAGTAAGATCACACAAGCATCTGAGACAAGTGAGGAGACAGGAATGAACTGATTTCTAGAAAAGTTTTTCTTTTTTAAGTGTGAAAATACACATAACAAACATATACCATCTCAACAATTTT